TATATAAGCTATACTTATTTACTTATTGACAACTTGTATGTAATGTGTTTTCCGTATCAATTTGCTAACCGAAAATTATAAAGGACGTGTTTGAAACTCGTTCTAAAATGATTTTATTTTTTATAAATGAAAATGAAAATGTTTTTAATCTCAGACATGAATCATTTTTGAAAATGCATTTGATAATTTTATTAAGAGATTGTTTTCAATATAAAAAAACTATTAATGTCTCTATCTTTTTCTCTCTCCTTGTGAGAGAGGAGAAAACAAAAACAAAAATAAAAATAAAAACAAAAAATGAAAAATGACTAAAAGTCACCTTTCATTTCTCTCTTATTTTACACTAAATCAAAAAATCGTTTTCATTTCCGTTTTTTATCTTTATTGCACCAAACGCTGTTTTAGAAATGTTTTTATTTTTTCTTTCTCAAAAAATATAAAAAATAAAAACGGGATCAATTCTAAATACGACCAAAGTTTTTTTTTTACATTGAGTACTTTAGGTAGACTTTGTCAATATTTGATTGTTTTGGATTTTATTGTACTTCTACATAAATTAGCCGTAATTGTTATTTTGAAACTTTTTGAGCCATCACTTCTCTAATCATCGAAAAATTAGGGCAGGAATCTTCTGTGTCATTTCAACTGGACAAGAATATTTGATCTGGAAAATAAACTTGAATATTATATATAATCCCATAGGTTAGAAACCATCTTACAATGAAAAAACAGGTCAACTGCTTTCTGATTAGGGCAAGTACGTGTGTCGATATTTTCTAATTTTGTACACAAAATAATAAAGTAATGAGATTACTTTCATTTTAAGATGCATTTTTATGCTAAGCATATAAATGGATCACGATTTTTTATTTGCTAAATTTGATTAGTCAACATGTCTCACTAGGCAGAAAATTTCAACCACTTATGATCAGTACTGTTTCTACATTGAAAGTTGAATATCCTTACGCTTACTAAAATGTGAAATTAATTTAGCAACCAGGGACGAAGCTACCTTGGGCTTAGCTTTCTTACTATTCTTAAAAAAAATCATTGGTCGTGTTTGGAATTAATCCCATTTTTATTTTTCACGTTTTTTGAAAAAAAAATAAAAACGTTTTTAAAACGATGTTTGGCGCAATAAAGACAAAAAACGGAAATGAAAACGATTTTTTGGTTTAGTGTAAAATGAAAGAGAAATGAAAAACGACTTTTAGTCGTTTTTCATTTTTTGTTTTCATTTTCTCCTCTCTCGAGTAGAGAGAGAGAAAGAGAGACATTAATGAGTTTTTTTACACTGAAAAACATTCTCTTGATAAAACTACCAAACGCATTTTCAAAAATAATTTCTGTTTGAAATTGAAAACGTTTTTATTTTCATTTTCCAAACGCGCCCATTATTTTGCCTATTATTTTCTTGTTTAGCCCCCCACAACCCAAAATCTTCTATTTTTAAATTTTGTGCTAAGTTTTTAGGAATTTTTATTTATACCTGAAGTTTGATATACTCCTTTAAAATGTACTAACATTATATTTTATGTAGAATACTTGAAAAATTTTCATTTACACTCCTTATTTTTATGTTTAATAATACTTCATTGCACCATTAATTTAGTTTAGAATTTAAGCTTAATTCAAGCCCTCCTGAAAATTTTTTCTGCCTTCGTCACTGTTACCAAGGTACTAATATTTTCAATGATTAAATGGGCTGATCAAATAAATATACAAACCGGGCTACAAGAATCTTCTTATATATAGTATTTAAGAAAGATAATAATTCAATTAGTTTATAAATTGCAGTTGCTTTCCGAGTTTTCTTCTCTTCTTTATATAGCCATCGACGCAACAATAATATACATAATAGGCCAGGGAAGATGATGTTTGATTTTGAATTAATAATTAGACAACTACAACTCACCTCACGAAAACAATGCAGGAAATGTCATTTCAAAATAAAATAACACGTTGTTTTAGTTTTGAACATTTCAATTTCTCCATTAAATATATATATATATATATATAACCAAAAACTTTATAACAATATTCAATGAGTATAATTATATAAAATGCCATGTCATCAATTATAACTTAGATATGCACATATTTTCTTAAATCGGTAGGTTACTATAAGATAAATATTGAAGTAACTAGTACTTTATGTATATATGTATCTATTTAATTTTTGATATTTTAAATAGTGTCTAACCAATTATATCATACAACAACATTTAATGAACAAATTTGGAAATTTAATTAAAAGACATTTCAATTATATCATAAGACATGTACATACTATATAGCTCATCTCTTCTCAATATATACATGGTTATATATATATATATATATATATATATACGTGAGGAGAAGAGCATGGATGTTTAAAAGCATGTCATATTTATGTTGGAGCGTATGTCATTCAAGACCCATACCAAATTTCTCATGACTTAAAACTTATTAAATAAAAAAAATTACAAAAGAAAATAATTGAATCATCAATCCAACACCCACTGAGAAGATTATCGGGATGAAGATCCACTTCCTTACAAAAACAAAGAAAGGAATCATTGGAATCTCTTTTCCGTAAAATACAGAGGAAAAAGCTTGAAAAGAAAGAAAAAAAATGCATGATCAAAAGCGGTCGTTAAGCGAATTTCCAAAGCGGCAACGAATTCTTAAGCTTAATAAAAAGAGGGGAAAAAGTAGTGCATATTGAATTAAATATATAATTTAGGGGTATTTATTGAATTAATACAAAAATAAAATATGTGAATATAACTCTTAACAGTTAAAAACTACAAGATTGAACGGTATGATGTAGAAAGAATCAGTAAAAGTGAGATTTAAAATTTGAGTTTTGTTACAGTAAAAAATTCTAACAGTCACATCTAATTTTTTTATTATAATAAAAAGTTCTCACATAAAATCGTATCTCAACTCGAATCAACGAACTAAACGTGCCATTAAATTTGAGAAAAAATAGGTTCGATCTCGTATTAAAAAAACAATTCTTATCATTTACAAAATTGTCTTTCGGATCCTAAAAAGGTTGAAAAGATAAATGTCATGACCAAAAAAAAAAAAAACTGTTAAAGTTGATTTGGGAAGCTTTCGGGAATAAAAATTTATTTGTCAAGTTGGTTTTCATGATTCGTCTTCTTTCCCATTATTAAATAAAAAAATAAAAGTCCTACCTTATGAAATAAATAATAAATAAAGCGGAAAAAAGGACAACGTCTACCTTATATGGAAGAGAAAAGTCATACATCCTTTTAAAAATTTACAAATTCACAAATTTGTAGATAGAACTAATAATGAATATTTTGAAAATAATTTTTTTTTTCTCTATTATGTGCCATCAATGATGTTCCTTCAATTAAAAATCATTGTTGATGGCGGCGTTTCTTGTGGCGCAGCAACATGTGTTCTACCAATGTTATAAAATATTGGTAATATTGAGCATCACTCAATAATAAAATGTGAATTTTATTGTGAATCTAAATATATTATCTAATTTTTAGTGTTTTAATTGATATTTAATCAATTAAATCATACCATATCATCTTATGATAAACATAAAATAGTTAGTTAAAAAGCAATTTAAATTTCTTACATGATGTGATATGATTTGATTGGTTAGATACTAAAAAAACACTGAAATTGGACACCAAATTTGAGTCCTTTTGTTGTGTAGATTTTATACATAAGACTCACTTTTTACTAGTAATGATGCTCTTAAATATTTTTCATGTGTTCATCAACAAAATCTAATTACTGAAAATTGTACAATATTTATTGTTAATATGAACAACCAATTAAAAATAGTAATAATAATTATAACAATACTATCAAAAAGAAAAACACTATACACAGAGTATAATATAAATCGTTATAATCTAACTATTAATCGTTGATTTTACATATTTCCTTTTTATTTTGATATGATTGAATAAGTTAATATTATCGTAGTGTTAGCTATGTTTTGTTATAGAATACTTTTTTATGTTTACAGTAAAAATTCTTTAGTTGAAAAAACTTGATAAATAATAATTACTTTTTCGTACTCCCTCTTATACAAAAACATCTCAAAAAATACACCATCTTTAATCATTATTAAAAGCATACATTTATTAAAAAAATATTTTTTAGTATCTTGAGGTCAACTTTTTAAGACATAAAATGTTTTTTTATCTTTTTATTTATTTAATTAGAAACTAAATATTTTAAAACTTTACAAAAATATTTTTAAAAAATAAAAAACTCAAAACATGATTTGCAGATCTTCAAATCCTTGCAAAAGAGAAAAGGCGGATCTTCAATCATTGTTAAATGTTTTAAATGCTTTCTTTTCAAATTTGTAGTCTTTCATCAAATAAATAAAAACGTAGAATGGACATTTTTATATCTTAAAAATCAGTTTAAAAATATTAAAAAAATGCTTCTTTAAAATGAAATTACTTATTAATATTATTAAAAACACAAATTACATATCTAACACTACATAAAAGAGTTAAAACTCTTTATCACGTGACAGTCCTTCCACTTTATTCTTTATTTATTTATTTATTTTTTAAATTTTAATTTTTTTATATGTTTTTAAAAATATATTGTTTCTCATTTTATTCTTATGAAAAGTAATTTTTTTACATGAATTCTTATTTTATTTTTTATTGGTTAAAATAATTATTTTTAAATGTGTTCCTATTTAATTTTTTTAGTCAATTATTATCTTTACACATATTTTTTTTGAATATAAACTTAAATTTTTTTAAATAATTATATAAATAAATGATTTATTATTCAATTAATAATAAATTCTTCGGGTGTCTTCGACACAATAGGACGTTATACAACTAGTTATACAACTAGTTATACAAAAAGGCTTTATCTCAAAATTAAAAATAAAAAATTTTGTGGGTGAAAATGGAAATTGGACAAGTGCGGCGCGTAGTATAGAGTTGAGAGAGAGTAGAGAAGGACGAATATGTTTTTGTGTAGTATAAAAAGTGGTAAGGTAAGAAAAGCCGTTTTGTGCGCGTATTTTTGGACTTCGTCTTTAGGACTCCGAAAAGGCCACTTCTTCTTTTTCATTTTTCTTCTCCCTCCCTCCGATCTTGCAGTTTCTTTTCACTCACAAAAATTCACTCCTCAAGATTCAGTTGGAGATGGAGGCCAACGAATTCGATCATCGCCAACAGAATTTCTGATCAGAATCTGTTTCTACACTGCAGGTATGGAAAGTTCAAAGCATTGCTTGTACTCAGTTTTTCTGTTTGGTTGCCGAGAAAACAAAATCAGTCTGGTTTTCTTGAAGTTATCCTCTAAGCTCATCTTAAATTAGTTTGTTTCCGTGGTTTCTTGAGCAGCGAAGTGAGTGTGCGATTTGCCGATCCGGTACGCGCTTAATTTGGAGTCATCATTTTCCCTGGAAGAGGGAAAAGCGGGAAAAGTTTTCCGAGTAGTGAGAATTTGTAATATACACTTTGATTTCATGGAAAGCTTAATTGCGTTCACCGTTTTTTGCGCTTTTTGAACTTCTGTTTTAGAACAAACGTAGATTCTTATTTAGCTTGGTACTGATTTAGAGAGAGAGGTTTTAGCGATGGAGTCTTTGTTGCTTGTTTCGAAGCGGCCACCGATTAAGCGGAGAGCGGGTTTACGGATTAAACAGGCGGGGAGAGGATCGTATCGCGGTAGTTAGGGAACGGTTTTTCTGCAATAATTTGGGTTTATATTTTTCTCTTTTTTTGTCCTACAAAAATTTGGTAGTTTGTGATCTCGAAAGCTTAGCATATGGAGAGTAGTCCTTTGAGGCAGTTTTTGATAAGCCTTTGCAACAACACTCACTGGAAGTATGCTGTGTTCTGGAAGCTCCAGCACCAGACTCCTCCGTAAGAATTCACTTGTAATTATATGAATTATTATGATTTTGAATAAAGTTAGCTGTTGTTGTTTCTATAGTTACCATTCTACTTTCTTAAATTTTGAAAAGAAATAGCGAGTTGATGTTCTACAATTCTCTTTTTGGTTGGCAACTTCAATGACTCTTTAGTTTGAAGAATATGATGTTATTATAGATTGTATCATTCACATCAGTTGTTGCTTGTTTTTGTTAGACTACATTAGATGGAAAGATGCTCTGATTCCTTTCATTAAACGACGTAATTGCATAAGACCTTTCGCTGAGTGAAACAATTCCATGAGATATTGGCAAAGACAGGATTACTTTGATGCTTTATAGTACTCACCCCAGCCGTGTTTGACTGTAATCTTTACTAGGGCACCCTTTGTCATTATTTCATCTTAGTTGCTCCTAGAAAATAGCAGCCAATCGTAGACGTGATCTCTTCCATCCTCTTTCTATCAAATTGCTTAGCATACTAATATATATATATATATATATATATTCCTTATTTTCTCGGAATCCTAGTTGGCCAAGTAGTGTAAACTGCTCAAACCACTTCCAGTTCCATGGTAAATTAAACAGGCAAGACATAGGCTGGCAGTGCAAGCACAAGGGAATTTATTGATTAATATATATCAGTTTGGCGTGCAGCTTATAATCTGTGTATTATATGCACTTTTTTGAATGTCTCATGCTGGTGTTAATGTTTGAATATCATTATTTTTCCCTTCTTTAGGATTTTGACGTGGGAGGACGCATACTGTGATAATGCAAAACCGGCAGAAGATTTGGGAAGTGCATCAGATGATAGCCATGTAAACAGATCAAAGCCAATATCCTTTCAAAGCCGTGAAACAAGTATGCAGGATATTGGATCTGAAGGATGTCAAATTGAACTTTTGGTGGCCAACATGTCATGTGTTCAATATGCCTTGGGAGATGGGTAGGGCTTTTTCCGAGGGCCTTTATCACATCATTTTCCAAACAATTTCAAAGATCTATATTAAGAAATCTCCACCAGTTAACTGGGGAAAGATCTTACTTTTTGTTCCCCCCCTTTCTTTAGAGGTATTGAGGATGGAGCCTCAAGGATTGGATATCGGAGGCAACTTCCTTTTAAATCCTCTTAATCATCTCATGCCTATTGCCTGCATCAATTGTAAAATTATGGTTGGTCTCAATTGATCTACAGCTGTATTGCTATACAATGTATCAACTAGCTTTACATCTGTTAGATCCTGAAAAATGGTTGACACTGACAGTTGACTTTCAAACAGGTTGGTAGGTGACGTGGCATGCACAGGGAAGCACACGTGGGTTTTCTTCAACAATTTCTTTACCAGAGAATTTGACAGCAACTTAGTTCCTGATGTAAGAATCTAATCATAATAGTGGTACGAAACATTTAATCTCTTCAAGTGCTGAACCTAATATCTCATCAACATAATTCTCTCAATTGACAGTGGACGGATGAGTGGCTTCTTCAGATTGCTATGGGTATCAAGGTAAAACGATTCTAAATGAATCATATCTCAGGCATGGTTATATTAGTACGTCCATAGAAACTTAACTTGCATATATTCACATGCAGACAATTTTGCTTGTACCTCTACTTCCAGATGGGGTTTTGCAGCTCGGCTCATTGGAGATGGTACGTTTTTCATGAATTTCATTTGTTTTCTGCAATGGTAGCGTCATTAACATAATTCTTACTCCTAGGAGCTGTAAGGAACTTTGCAGCTCATCTTTTTGCACAGGTCAGGTAAGAAGAAAGTGTCTAGGAAAGGTGATTGTTTTAGCACTTTTGTAGGCAGTCTTGTTGGAGAGAAACCGTTTTGAGAGGTGTGAGGAAGAATGTGGTGTTATATGGGATAGGGTGAGATATTAGATAGATCTTTTGGGTTTATCACGAAAAGAAATTTAAGGCTTGATTTTTTTCCATCTTGCGAGGTATTGGGGTTCAGTTTTGTAGTGTTTCACATGTGGTTTGTTGGAAGAAAATTCTTCCTCTATTATACTTCTACATAATTTTTTTAATCATTCATGAAATTTTGTCTTTGTTTCAAAATAATAATAATAACTAAATAAATAAATAAATAAATCTTACCTGCCGGAGTAGCAGTTTAGTTAGTTGTCTTTCTGCATCCGAATGGTCATATTTCATTTAGTGAGCAGGTGAGAAGTATGTTTAAGCGGCCTAATTATCATAGATTGATAGTTATGACATTGGAATATAACGTGTATGCACATATGTACTGGTGTGTTTTTCTCATTGTTCCCTGGTCCGTTTTCTAAACTTGAATTTCGCTCTACTTACACTCCTCTTAAAATTTCTATTGAGGATTCAGGTTGCTGAAGATCTTTCTGTTGTTGGTTTCATCAAAGAAAGATTCGATGCCTATCACAGTATGATGAGTTCAACTATACCATTCACGATAATGATGAATCCTGTAGATCATTCATCATTATCACCCCTATCTAGCACTGTGGAGAGCTTAAATGAACCTACACGTCTGATCACTAGCCGCGTAAAGTCTGAGAAATTGGAGGATTTCGACTGCAATACACTGAATGAAAGGAGGTTGTCAACTTCAAAACAGTCCATCCCAGTGCAAACTGTGCAAGATATGCTTGTTGTGCCTAAAAATGATGCAGTGGATGTTTTCAAGAGTACAAGTAAAAACGAGATTGGTTTTCCTGAAGAATCAGCTATTCCAAGTCTATCTTTTGATGTAAATAGTCTGGACATGGCTGAGGCTGAGATGTTTGGATTTTCTTGTCTGGAAGAAGAACTTTTGGCCTATTCTTTATCTAGTGGTCAAGATGTGGAACTCTTTGAAAACTCCCTAAATGGAGTTACTCCTTGCACTGCTGGAGAAATGGCTGCACAACTATTTGGAGATGATTATATAAATAATGGCTATTGCAAAAGCATGACCAGTTTTTCCAGATTTCCCGAAGACAGCGAACTACACAGAGCACTTGGACCATCTTTTCAGGAAAGGAATACGTATGAACATTTTTGGGACTCGTCTTTCTTGATTGAGGATGCACGTACTAATAGACCAAGTGCATTCTGCAATAGAGAGCTTTTGGACGTCATTGAACCATCATGGTTTGGTGGAAGTGGTGACAAGGATTATTTGTTGGAAGCTGTTGTAACCGACTTATGTTGCAGCTCAGATGATGTACTGTCTAGCCTGTCCGACAATGTCCCTTCATATGTGACCTCATCAAGACAGTCCACTTTTTCTCAACCACAAGTGCAATCCAAAGCAGGTCCAAGGATGCAAAATTGTTCAATTCAAAGCAACCTTGCCAAACCTTCGTTTCTTCCCAGGGTTGATAGTTTGACTTCTCTTGATGGCATGACTAGCACATTGACTAACGAAGGGCGGCAGGTGAAAGTTCAAGGTCCTGTGCAGTCTAGTAAACAGAAAAGGCCGCCGAATACGAAAACAAGGAGAACAAGGAATGGCAGTACCCAAAAGTCAAGACCCAGGGATAGACAGCTAATCCAGGATAGGGTTAAGGAACTGCGGGAACTTGTCCCGAATGGTGCCAAGGTGGGGTGCCTTTTTACTTTTAGTATTTCGTTGTGGTTTTTCTTTGTATCTTTCTCTTCGACTAAGCACTTTGATACTTGTTGGCAAGTTCAGTGTAGCATTGATGGCCTCTTAGATCAGACTATAAAGCACATGCTGTATTTAGAAAGTGTTGCTGGCCAAGCTAAGAAATTGAAGGGGCATCTGCTGCGGGAGGTAGGTAAAGTTGATTGTCTACTGAAATATTAAACAATAATCCAGCAATAATTATTATTTTAATTGAGATTTCACTTATGCGTTCTAAACGATAAATTCCCTAAACGATAAATTTCTCGACTAGTATTACTAAAAGCTGCTTCTTGCTTGTGTATTCATTACCCGACTTCTAGCTGATTGCTCCACACAGAGTTTTAAAGTATTTAGTTCTTTCATTTTTGATGTAAATCGATCTTAGGAAACCCTACAGACAGGCTCAAAAACTAGTAGTCTTTATCACCTTGGAGAGAAGCTAGCGCCTTGGGCATCTCACAGTTATCCTTTTTTTTTTTTGTTTTTTTTGAGGGAAATTTGACAGTTGCAGTTGGGAACATCCAAATGCTAGATGTGGTTCTAACTAGTTCAACGTTGTCCAACAACTTGGATCTTAAATTGTAAATTTTGCAGGCTGCCAGTGGCAGGAATCGAAGATCAACTGCAACTTGCAATACTTTGCAAAATGGGACGAGCTGGGCGTTTGAATTTGGCAGCGTGCAGCAAGCTTGTCCAATAGTTGTCGAAGACCTCGGGAACACGGGACACATGCTTATTGAGGTCATTCCTTTGTTCCTAAACTCTATTTTTGACAACCCCAAACTTATATCGCAATCCCTAAAGCAATAACCGCTTCTACTTCAGGTACTATGTGATGATCATGGACTTTTTCTGGACATCGCACAACTGATTAGACGACTTGATTTGACCGTCTTGAAGGGTGTGATGGAAAACCGATCGAGTAACACATGGGCTCATTTCGTTGTTGAGGTACTTTATTATTTTCACAAACTTAAATGTTAAAACCTTTCTATATTTTCCTTTTGTTCTAAACTATCTTTTATTTTATCCATCATGCGCTCAGGCTACCAAAGGCTTCCACAGAATGGAGATATTCTGGCCTCTGCTACATCTTCTGCAGCGCAAGAAAAATCGAATCTCGAGCAAGATCTGATTCGTCAAAGCGAAGTATGATGTGGTTGAGCAATATCGCTCTAATGCAACACTTTACGATACAAGTAGAGGATTTTATTGTGTACAGTTGAGATCATGCAATGTGGACTGAGACTAGCTCCTAAAAGAATGAATAAGCGTCTGAATCGCCCCTTTCACGCAAAGAAAAACTAGCTTTCATGAGCGGAAAAACTAGTAATGTACATGAAACTAGCTTTCATGAGCGAAAAAACTAGTTATGTTCATCATGTAAACAAGGACCAAGTGTGTAAGAACCAAGAACGATGACTAATGTAGAATGTTTCTATCCTAGCAAAACTGTCATGTTTCGTACGAATTCATTTTGGGTATTTCAGCCAGCAGTAGCGTATGCCACCAGCCACATGCGACATTCTTCGGCACGCCATTGATGGTAACTTGAGAAGGGGTGCTCCGGTCGACAGAATCACCAAGACCAAGCTGCATCCAAGCAGAATAAAATAGTTTGTCATAAGTTCTCATTGTAGAAAGTCGCTGAAGATAACCTAAATGGTTGCAAGCATATGTATTTTGGCACATTAACGCAAAGTAAAAAATAAGGGAAGGGAAAAAAAAAAAAAAAAAAAAAAAAAAAAAAACACTTCGGGGAGGGAAAAAAAAAAAAAAAAAAAAAAAAAAACCGAAGCTTCGAGTGTCATACTTGGCCGTATTTGTTCCATCCCCAGCTAAACAACTGCCCGTCCTCTGCAAATGACATATCAACAAGGAATTTTATTAGAAACGTAACCAATGTCGTAGGCAACGTGACTCTTGCGCATAATCTATTTGCTTCCTCCTTACCTGTTACTATGGCACTGTGACGGGCACCGCAAGATACCATTTTGGCATTCTTACCTTCTAAGCAAGGAGAATCCAAAAGCCTAGGAAGAGTCTGAAGTAGATGAACAAAAATAAATATATAAATAATAACCAGGAAGCTATTTCTCAACATGGAGTAAATATTAATCCTTAAAAAAACTTGAAAAATATTGAGGACCCCAAACAATTGTATTGACAGTTTTATACCAATTGTGCGGAGCAAGTACATTATAATCCTCTAATTGCTTCGCTGCAATTTGCTGAAGGACTCATCAATAAAGACCAATTAGAAAACTGGGATGGCAATATGAAGGGAAATGTGACATTCCTTCCAAACATTTGTCTTCTCATTTTAGAAAAGCTCAATTTGGTCGTGCTCTCTGTTTCCAGTTCTCAAAAAACATCTTCTAAAAGCAAAAGATCCCCAGTATTTGAAAGTTCTCAATTGAACAAGGAATGAATTCAAAAATTTCGTTTTGAAATATTTCTCAGTATATATAGACCTCGTTCATTTCACCGATTCGAGTTTTCAGTTTTAGGTTTTTACAGTAAAAAGTTCTCAGAAAACGTCACATCTAACTTTTTCTGTTACAGTGAAAAGCTATCAAAAAATATCACATCTCAGCTCGAATTGAAAACTCGAATCCGCGAAGTGAACGGGACATAATATGAAAAAAAGAGAATTTTTCCTTCAAAGGAAAAAGGAAAAGGAGGATTTTAGATGTACCTCAGCCTGGTCGGCACCAGTTCCCAACTGTCCAAACTGATTACCTCCAAAAGCATATACGTGGCCGTCAACAGAAACACACAGAGTATGCCACAGTCCTGCAGCTATTTTTTCCACTCGCACACCCGATAATGAATTCACGAATGTTGGCCTTAGCTGATCATATGTACCACCTTGTCCACACTGAATGCAAGATGCCAGAGTTGGGGGAAAAAAAAAGGATCAGAAAGGTGGTCTAAAAATTAAATTGCATTCTGGAGATCAACAAAATGAGTTTCTGAGACAAATTAGATGGCCTAAAATTTTAAGACCAATAAGTTAACTACATAATAAATGACATCAATCCTCTCAAAAAAAAAAAAAAAAAAAAAAAAAAAAAACACCGGAAAAAACAAAAGACATCAATCCAATTGTGTTGCATCGGCCAACTGATGTTTTTTCATATCCCACTACTTTAGTAATCTGATTATGGACTAAATACTTCTGCACAATGGAAAAAAAACAGGCAGCCATTAATATAATTCAAGTCAATTCACTCAGAAAAAGGCTGAGACTAAGATGGGAAACTTACTTGACCGTACAGACCCCAGCCAAACGTAAGCAGCGCTCCAGCATCTGTAGATAAAATTTTTGATAAAAACCAAAGAGCACGTTGAAGTATCATTATATGCTCGAATGTAAGAGTTAAATTGGCACGAAACAGTAGAAAGACCACTCTCAAATTCATTTAAGTACAGCCGAATCCAGAATCCACATACATAATCCCAAAAAGTCAGTGATTTCTTCACATAATTGTGCATTATGAATTATTCTTTGAGTTAATAATTTCAACAGGAAACAGCCATAAAATGCATACCAGTAATTATTACACTATGCCGTCCTCCACAAGCAATTTCCTTCACAAAACTGCCAGGAACTGTAGATGCGTGTGCTGGCAAAGTCTTGCTATCCTGTGAAACTGCTGAAGACCTATCTTTTCCAGTAGCTGGTGCCTCGATGCAAGGTATTATGTGAGGAGTAGACACCATCTTTACCCGAGAACCCAAGCCGAGTTGTCCTTCGCCTCCATAGCCCCAACCCCACACCTGTCCCATATCTGAAACTTTTATTAATATTATGATCCATCAGGTGTCTTGCTCTACATCAAAAATCTTCCATAGCTTCGTACTTCTACAACCTACAAAACTATATGGTGTGACCACAAAGACGAAGCAACTATCCTGAAATACGGTTTTGTTGCCCGAGAACCATGATATTGTGGAATTACCTGATAACGCTAACGTGTGCCGGCCACCAGCAGCAACTGTTGTTATCTGCACTCCAGAGCCCAAAGATACAAGATAAGGTGAAATGGTGAAGAATTCGTCACCAGATATTGAGCTTTCAGGTTCTTGCTTGGCTGATGCCACTTTTCTTCTCTTTACTGCTTCTTCTCCAGGTCTTTTACCGTCCACGTTAGAAACAGCTCCACCTGTCAAACTGGAGCCTTCAGACCTTGGGCTGCCTGTAAGACGTTAAACTTCTTGATCTTAACGGTTCAACACAATAAGCTGTAGTTTCCAAATTGTTTAACAAACATGAGAAGGATTCAGAAAAAGACAAAAGGGTAATGGACCTTGTTCTGCTACCGCCGAAATTTGTTTCCCAAGATTATCCTTCTGGAAATATCCTATTGTAGCCAAATCACAGATTATTTTTGCAGACGGAATACACTCTCTCCATCCCCATGTATACACTTCACCCTTTTCTGTATATTAAGAAACATCAACTCCGTAATATATAAGAGAGAGAACGGAAAGAATCGTCAGTTAACTAGTAGCTTAGTTTCATCTCTCAAAAAATGTCTATCAATCAACATTATGCAATTGCATAAATCAAAGAAAAACAAAACTAGGCAATGAACCCGTAATGTAGGAAGAGAAGAATACCTGTGACTAAAACACAATGGGCCCAACCCGCAGCAGCCTTGACTACCGAAGCCTCAGTTGGCAGAGGAAAAGGCTCTGGAGTCTCCTTAACAAATTTACAGGGAACAGAAAATGAAAAATCAAATTCACACCAGTTATTAAGTTATGAAAAACCTAAGACATTAGAGAACATCCGAGTTACCCCGTGCTTTCCTGAAGTCAGGTAACTTTGGCCTTCATCTTCCACTGAACCCCATGTTATGAGCTTCCCAGACCCTAAATCCACCCATGGTTGACAACATCATATATCACCACCATTACAAAAACTAAGCACCATTTTCAAAGAGAGTTGAAATGCGGATCACCAAGAACTTATATGGCTACAGAAATGAAAGACAGATGCTCACTCAGAAACCCTGGTATAAATTGGATTGAACCTAGAAATAAATACTTAGATGGTCATATAAATGAAATCTACTTCCTAAAGCAGAAACTGAAAAGTAGTTATATTTTCCATATAAATGAAACAAAGTTGCTCAAACAGTAACGCTGTATAAGATACAATGAATCTTGAAGCGCCTATATTGCACCTAATTGACCTAAATGACACAGTTTCTATCTCAAAAGCGCAGAATTCCAAGTGAACTACGATGAGAGCTCCAATTATCACATCAATCGCAAGAATTACTTCATCTCCTGCGGTTGATTGCTTGAGAATTAAAAATACATTTACGGATTGTTCAAATTCAGTGAAAACTGCATCATAGTTCTTCAGTTTCAGACAGAAATATCATAAGCAAAATTTGAACCACACAGCAAGAAAATCGACAAAAACAAAATAATTAAGAATGTGAGTCAATAAATAACAAATCTAGAAAGGAAATTGCAAAAATAGCAAGGAAAGAGATGAAGGTCGAGAATCAACCAGAGATGGCCATGGCGAATCCACAACCGCCACCGCAAACATCTCTCCACGAATCTTCGCCGCCGATTCCATCAGAAAACCGGACCGGTGTTGGAGACAGTATCGGAGACTTCTCCGGCGAGGCTCCAGGAAGATAACCCCACATATACACCATAGCTTCCTTACATTCCTCAATTTTCACTTCTCCTCCTTCGTTGCCATTCATTGCGATGACGAACTCCAAAATCTTCTCCGTGAAACTGAAGCTTTTTTAATTCAAAATCAATGGCAGAAAGCATCAATCCCTTTCTTTCTCTTCCTTCTCTCTCTTCACGAAAAAGTAAAATGTTTTGGTTTGGTCTGCAAATTCGGTTTCTGAAGGGGAAAATTCTGGAATAAACAAAGCAACGAAAAGAAAAATAAATGGGCCAAATCATTTCCAGGGATTAAGAAGCGCCACGTCGGACGCCACGTGGAAATTCGGACACGTGGAGTGATCTGGACGGCAAGCGAGGATTATCCATGTGAAGCCACGATTGAGCTAGAAGTTTCTGGAAGATGATTGTTTTTTTTTTTTTATTGGGTTGTGATTTTCCGTTCTAGAGGCTGCCTTGCTGCTTGCCACGTGGGACGTTTTATTTAATCAGCATTATTTTTTTTCTTTCAATGTTTTAATTTTATAGGATAAAATTATTTTACTACCTTCTCTTATAATAAAATATATCGTTGATATTCTATATTTTAAATAATATTAAAATAATATCTTTATTTTAAAAAAAATATTCTTTTAATACTTTAAAATTGATTTTTAAAATATAAAATATTCATTCTACTTTTTTTTACTAGTTAACAATAAATTAATAATTTCTTAAAAAAATTTAAAAATACTTTACAACATTTAAAAATTAAACAATCAATATAAATTGAAATGTTTACAAAAAGTTATTTTAAAACTATTAGTTTATATTTAATTATAAAAGAGATAGTTTCTCAAAAATTAGTCTCATAGTACAAAAAAAAAATATTTTTTAAAGGTAAAATTACCGTTTTAATATTATTAAAAAATACAATATATTAGGGAGAGATTTCGCTATAACAGAAGCTACAAAATTGGGTTTATCCCTAATCTTATTGAATATTTTTTTTTTGTTTTTTTCTTTTTTAGAACTTTGGAATGGGAGATTTAAATTGTACATCTGTGATAGGGTCATATGTCAAAATCAATACCTTTTTTTGAAAAAATATACTAATGTAGGTACGTACACATTGAGTTGTGATGGAAATTTCTATATGGTAGAATGCAAATGATATATAGAAAAAAGTTACAAAGAAATTCCAAAAGGTATATAAATAGTAGTATATAGTGAAAAGCTTATATGATTAAATATATGAAATATTTTAAATTATAAGATAATAAAATAAAAAAATAAAGGAGTTGCAACTTAAAAAGAAAAGGAAAAAAAAAAAAAAAAAAAAAACACACCTAAAACTCACCGTAAGATTACTAATTAACACTACCCATATATCTTTTATATAAGGACATGATTATAATTTTAAGATTAGAATTTAGGATTTAAGGTTAGGATAACATTTAAGATAACAAAAGTACAGAATGAAAATAGTTGTTGTACTGCTCACTCACTTATACGGTGGCGTTACATAGGGAGCATATATAAACAATGGAAAAAGACAAAAAAAGGAAAATAGAAAGAAAAGAAAAAGGCTGTACTACACAGACATTTAAGGTCTCGTTCACTTCGCAGATTTAAGAATTTGTCTCGATTTTGCTCCTTCAATTTTGATGTGTAATAACGATACGATTTAAAATATTTATATAGTTAAGGTATGTACAAGACAAGTATTTGGCTGTAATTGAAGTTTTTTTCTTTCTTAAAAAAGAAAATAAGAGTAAATAAACAACGTAGATTATGACTAAATTATAAAAAAATGCAGATTATGAATACAAAAAATAAACACAGGATAATTTTTCTTAGAGTAAATTAGATATAAAAGTTCGCATGTTCTAAATAAGAGGTACCGACTTGATAATATTCGTTACGTATTTGTCTGAGTATAGTTTCCCGGACAACCAAAAAGAAATACTGTGGCCAAACTAGGTTTGTCATCATGATTCGTTATCCTTCTCGATGTATCATTCCAAATCATCAACATGACTGAAAGGAAAAAATAATAGAAAAGAACAACTTCATCATTATTATAAAAGCAGTGATTTTTTTTTTTGGTATCGCTACATATTAAGGTCATAATTATTTCACCGATTGAGTTTAAAATTTGAGTTTTACTACAGTAAAAATTCTAAAAAACAGTCATATTAATCTTTTTTATTACAGTAAAAAACTCTTATTTAAAGTCACATCTCAATTCGAATCAACGAACAAAACGGACCCTAAACAATGTTGAGAAATTATTGAGGTACCGGAAAGCCACTCGCAGTAAATCCACCGTCAATATTAATAATCTGACCAGTGATATATGAAGCAGCAGGAAGACAAAGAAACGCTATCACTGATGAGACTTCATTAGGCTCTCCAAGGCGGCTAATTGGAGTTCGAGCAATTAATTGAAAAAATGAAGCAGCTTCATGCCTTAATTTAGGATCGTCCTGTAGAGAAAGCAAAAATACTTGAGTTTAAATAAAATACTAAAGAAACGAAAGAACTCTCCTTTTATTTCACTGACAAGTATTGTTATTTTAACCGTTAGATTAATTTTTTTTAATGGCTTAATCTATTCATTGGAATAGTTTTTTGTCGTGAATTGCAAACTTTTTCGTGAACATTCATAAATTGGTCTTTTATTAGTATGCAAAAATACAATTCCTTACCTAGAAATCCCCATTTTGAATTATGTTCGTAGGAATAAATCTATCTATACAATATCAAAAAGCAGCAATGTCGCATCCATGCGTTTTATCCTCTTGGGTTCATCACATAGAAGGGAAGGACAAGATGTTTAATCCCAATTTTTGTTTTCTCATTTCTCCATTTTTTATTTTTTGTGTGAAATTTAAAAAATAAATACATTTAAAATATATTTAAAAATTGAAAATCTTTCATAAATATACTATGGTAAAGTTTACTCAAATATTTTTTTTACAATTATCAAAATTTATAAAGTAAAAATTATAAATAAGAAATTTAGTAATTTATTTTTGTATAAATATTTAAATAGGAAATCAAAAACACATTTTGTTTAGTGTTTTGGTGTAAAAATATTATGAATATTAACCTTATAAATAGAAATGAAACTCACTATAAATATGTGTGCTAAAGTACGTCTATTTTAGTCATTGTAAATCTCCACAATAACTTAGAAAAAACCTTTACCAACCCATAGACTTATATATCATAGACTAATTTTGTAATGTGCTCTGCACGTGTTGTATTGGAGACATCAAAAGAGTGTAATGTTTATTGAATAATGAGAAATTTACTTATATAACCATTTAAAAAAAATTTAATTTAGTTAAAAAAATATATATTTAAAGATAACAATTGAGGAAAAAAATTAATTAGGGACAATTTAAAGAAAGTTACGGGTCTCCATTAATTTGATGACTTGTGGCGACTTAAATTCACCGTTTGATCTAACCGGCATGCCTTGAATTACTTTATTTTAACCAACTAAAAATAAAATAATAATAAATGTAAAAAATTATCCTCATAAGAGTAAAGTGAGAAATAGTATATTTTTAAAAAACACACAAAAAATTAAAATGTAAAAAAAAAAATTCACAAATAAAATAAAAATAAAAAATAAAAAATAAAAAAGTAAGTAGAGGAGCTGCCATGTGACAGCCTAATAGAAAAGAGTTTTGACTTTTTTATATATCGTTAGATTGTTTGATTATAGATTTGGACCACATTCAAGTGAGAGAGTCCTTTGATTATAGATGAAAGAGTAGGTTTACCGCATAAGAACTTTCTGTCAACGGGGTCTTGATAACCCAAGGAGCAACTGTGTTAGCACGAATATTGTCTTTTGCCCACTCACACGCTAAGTTCCTTGTAAGTTGATTGATCGCTCCTGCATACAAAAATAAAAACAATGTTGGATGTAACCACTTTCAAGGTTTAGAATCCTCCAAAATCTCCACCTAATAATTTTAATGTTTTGTTTCACGACTCTTTTTTTTTTTTTTTTTTGGTTATAATGTTTGTCTAATTAAAATTTAAATTTAAATTCACTTTACAATTCAAGTTCTTAACTCAAGTTGCGAAAAAAACGTATTAACAACACAAGTGAGCTCTTTCATCCCTTTAGTTTTGCATTCTGATATTTTTGTTATTAATCCTGTTTCGTTTCTTTCTACAGGTGGTTTAACAAAGCTTTTCTCAGTTTGTTTGAGGAGCTGAATTTTCTTTGCTGATCCCAGTTTATTTGCATTTTATTCCTATGGTAGTTTAGTAAAGCTTTTCCATTATAGCCCAAAAAAAAAAAAAAAAAAAAAAAAGTAAAGGCCTCATCTTTCGTTTCCCCCTTAGCTTATTCTCCTTCCTTTGTCAATGGATTTATTCCTTTGGGCTTAATTTGTCACTATTCTCTTTAGCAGCATTTTATAGGATAAATATAGAAGGGGACACGACTTTCATTTTTCAATGCTATTTACTAGAAAATTAAAAGAAAAAAAAGTGAAAAAAAAATTATTTAATTAATGCTTATATGACAAACCGGTTCCTAATTGACTTGCTATATAAGTTATACATAACGTATGTATTTGTTTTCTTAATTTGATTGTAACCACTGATGATTAAAAATAAATAATAATAATAATTATTGAAATATTCTTATATATATGTATACATATACAGTATGCGTATACATACATATATGTATGTATGTAACGAACCGCAATTTGTAACGTACATATATACCTTTTGTTGATCCGTAGAGGGCAGAATACGGAAAAGCCATGACACTAGCAAGGGAAGAATTGAAAACAATGCTTCCATTTCCGGAGGCTTTCAGCAAAGGGTGTGCAAGTTGGGAGAGATGGTAAGCCGACTCAAAATTTGTAGCCATCAATTTTGACACATCTTCGGCTGTGAATTCTGTAGCACTCTTTGGAATTGTTGTCCCAACATTATTTACCTATAATTAGAAATATGTATACAGATCTACAGTCATCATTGGAACTCACTTGGTATAGCACATTAATCAATATAAAGTAACTATGTCATTATGTGGTAGTTTAGGTATTTGTGCACTAATCATGATTTTATATTCTTGTTATTTTATCCACGTAAACGGTGCATTGTAAAAAGTCACAAAGAAAAAACTCACAAGAATGTTGAGCTTCCCTTGAAACAGAGATATTACTGTTTCAATAAGCTTTTCTCTTTGGTCTGTGTGTGAGACATCACAGACTGACCCAGTTACTTTGAAACCTTTAGTTTTCCATTCATCCAAACGCTGGTCTAATTCAGTTTGGTTGCGGGAACATGTGTGAACTATGGCCCCAAACCCTGCTAGTTCTTCTACTATTGCATGTCTAATGTGTCACACCAAAAAAAAAAAAAAAAAAAAAAAAAAAAAAAAAAAAAAAAAAAGAAAAATTAATCCTATTGAATCATAAAATTATGGAAAAATTCAAAAGATCAATGCAGGTTACATACCCTATGCCTTTGGTTCCACCCGTCACAAGAGCGGTCTTTCCCTTAAGACTCCATCTCTCATCTCTGCTATTGATTTTCCCTTCGGCCATGTTTCCAAAATGTTCTTCTTGGTTTATGACAATGCCTTGTACTCGGTTGGGTTATCTTAAAGGTGCAAAAGATCTCTACATTTTTGTCTTGCTGCCCAAAAAAAAAAAAAATCATTGGCCTCAATTTACTTGGCCATATCCCATATGTGATTAGGTTGTCAATTTCATTTCTGAGAAACAAGTGATCTATCTTGGCGAGAAGTCCAATAAAATTGCCATGTCGCATTTCATTGGATAAGGTCACGTATGTAGCGAACAAAATGCCCCACTTTGCAGATATTGGGGATTTGGGTGTGTGGGAATTTGGATAAGTTTAGTATTTGCGTGTAAAAAAAATTCTCCAATGCAATACTATTTATTGTACTAAATTTATTATATGTTATATTTTACAGTAAATTTCTCACCAGTATAACATTCTCAATTAATCATAGTAACATTTGTTTTTTTTTAATTATTATAAAGTTACAAGTTTACAGTTTCAAAAAAAAAAAGTTATAAATTTACTTTTACAATTTTTAAAGCTCAATAATTATGATAAAAAGTAAATTTAACATTTGAAATAGTATGATGTATGGAGTAAAACATGTCCAATATACTATAATCCTACTTTTTAACGTCAAATACACAATTCACATTTTTGCATTAAAGATGTCTCAGTTTAACATGCCATTCACTCGTCAAAAAGGCTAATAGAATAATTTCCGCTATCAAGGATACGTCTTCATTTTTGCAAAAGATAACGAGTATACTGTCTTCTCACTCATGCTGGGTGTAAATCCTGTTCTAATTAGAAAGGAATGAGAAGAAGAAGCCCTTTCATCCCTTTGGTTTTGTATTCTGATACTTTTATTGTTCCTGTTTCGTTTCGTTGTACATGTAGTTTAACAAAGCTTTTCTCAGTTTGTTTGAGGAGCTGAATTTTTTTTTTTTTTTTTGATGATCCCAGTTTATTTGCATTTTCCGCCTATAGTAGTTTAGCAAAGCTTTTCCATTAAAGGCAAAGCAA